AATGATTCACATTGGAAGCTCTTCCCTGTTGACTCTTGTTTTCTTTGAGCACTATGACAGGAAGTAGTTTATGTCATATGAAGCAATGCTTTGAGTTTATGTAGCAAGAGAGCATTTTTTTGTCTGCACAGGAAGAACCAGAAAGAACAGAGAGAAATATTATGAGCTGAATAATGAGGGAGTCAAATCCCTGACTGTCTATGCAAAGATCGGCAAACAATTGATTTGCTTTTACTAAGACGTTTTAAAGCTGTTTCATAAAGCCACCCAGTCGTCCATAGACGCTAATCCTTGCAGAGTTGTGGGTGGGGTGCCGGGATCCACCTTGGACAGATCACCAGTTAATCACGGGCAACACACACAGGACAAACAATCTTAATGGATCACAGAAAATGTCTGTGTCAAATTACATGAAATTACATGCATGATTTAGATGCTTCAAATTAATCTACTTATTAAACAAAATAAAAATGGAACATGGGTAGAAATTAAACTGGTTTTGTACAGCTCTGTATGTGAGACTTGTAGTCTGACACATTCCTCGTTGGTTATTTTTGGAACTTCACTCAGGATCGCCCTGTTCAGAGTTTGTGGGGATGTCCATCCCGGGGAAGTCTGGAAGCATCTTAGCTGGCCACTTTCTTCCTCACTCTAGCACCATGCAATTTAAATAGTTTAAAAGTAAGCTCATAACGCTGTATGAGATCACATGACCTCTTTTAAGATATAACCAAATGTCAGTGCATGTGAATCTGCTAGAGTTTTAAAGAAGACTCTGAAGCTGAAAAATCTACTTCTACTAGTATACCGCAAGGTTTTTCTTTTTCAAGTGATCACCACCTTAAAGTCCTTTCTTTCTCTCTCTCTCTCTTCTGCGAAGCTCACCAGACATAATTGACAGTAGTGGTATCCATTGATGACAACGCAAACTGTATGGAAGAAATGAAAACAGCTCATTCTCACGCTGCCGTCCGAACCGTAAAACGTTTCCAAATTCAAATCTGGATCACAGCAGCAAATCCCAACAGTAAGAGCAGCTATTTATGCAGAAAACTACATGCTCATCTGTGTCCACTTACTGCTTGCATTATAATGAGTTGTTACTGAAGGAGAGAGAAATAATGGATTGTCAGTGATGAAACGTGTCCTCGAGCTATTTTGTTCAAAATGGAGATGAGAGAACTGTAAGGCTGGAAATCCTGAGGAAGAAGTAAATAATCTCCTTTATTACACACAGCTCTGCTACATTTTTGCTTCAGGTCCCAAGCTTTTAATGGGCAGGGATAAATACACAGCCGAACACGCACACACCAGCACTCAAACACTCTCTTTAGTGGTGAAATGAGCAGCACCGCGGTGAAATAGCACCCTGATGTAACCAGATCGTTTTCTCCGTGTGCTCTGAAATCTAGTTTGCTTTCCATCGACGTAGGAACTCATAAGCATATATCCTCTTTATACCACTGGAGAATTGGTGTGTCAGACAATAAAGCGTGTCTTCCAAGGTCCGTGTACATTGTTTTCTTTGGGTAACCTCCCACAACACTGCTTTTGGTGTTGATATTCTTTATTTTTGGAGGGGGTTTTTTCTGTTTATTTTTTTTTTTACAAATGTTGCAGCTTTCTCAATCCACCACCTCTTATCTTCTCTCCTGTTCTCCATCTTTATTCTTCTTTCTACTACAACGAGAAGAAGCAATCAATCGCCTAGCAACAAAAATACTTATCCCAGGTCCTCTCACACCTGGTTAGAGACTGATGCTGAGGTCATCAGTAGATATATAGTTTCATTCATTTTCTTTTAATCTTACTTGATGGGCTCATTTTTCCCCCTCTCAGATTTGTCCTTCAGCCGGTTTTATCTGTCTTAATATATTTATTTCGTCCTGTTCTTTTCCAGGCACTCTAATCTGTGTCTTTAGGAGTGTGCATATTTCTTTATTCTCCCTGACTCTCTGTCATTTAACTCATCAAGTTATTTCTATTGCTGTGTGGTTAAAGGAAATTGCTTTCCAGGGAATGTTTCTGGATCCATTTAAGCCAAATAGATATGAAGGAAGTATTTTCATTGACTTTACTGTCACTGAAGAGCCAAAAGATAGATGTGTGCACCCTGGCTTGAGACAAAGTTATGCATTTATTTTGTGTTGTACTACACTGTGTGCACATTTATTACTGTATATTAATTATTGAGGATTATCTTTGCTTAATCAGGTACAGTGTGGTTTATCCAAAATGTTAATAAACCCCAAACATGAATGATTAAGAAGATAAAAGGGAGATTTTGGCTTTCTTAAGAGAATATCAATATGTGCACAGTTATTACACAGCTAAATGAAAAACACACATTTTCCCATCTCACTTTTATATTTTCATCTGTTTAAGTGAAACGAATAGCTCAGTGGTTTCCTATAAACATGTTTTGACATTAAAAAAAAAAATAAAAAATTGTGATCAACATAGCCACCATTGGTTTCAAAGTCATGGAATCTGTCAGTTTCAATCCGGTTCACATCAGGTGAGGAAGGGTCTCTTTACTGGATAGCCACTTACTGTAGTACTTGAATGCACGTGATGGAGCGTTGTCCCCCATTAAAATTATTGTCTCTTTAAAAGAGACAAGAAACTTCCTCCTGCATCACTGCTAAAATAAAGTCGTCCTGTCTAACAACTGGAAAAGGGTTTGGAGTTGATTTTGAGCCCATCTTTAAAACGTTCCGACCAACTCGTCTTCAATATTATCCGGTCCATACCGGTACCCCGCCTCCACCTTGCTGGTGTCTGACTGGAAATTGAGCTCTGCAGCTGTTATTGATCCAGCCACATCCATGAGACTCTTATTTCATCGACAAAAACCTTTGGAAAAATCTGTCTTCAGATATTTCTTGGACCAGTTCAGACGCTTCAGCTTGTGAGTCTTGTTCAGTGGTGGTCGGGTTTCACCCCTCCCTTCCCCGTGAAGTTCCCTGGGGCCTGAAAATTTTTTTTTTTGTTTTTTTTTTTTTTACTTCTTGATGCTCCAGGTAGGTTGCAGTTATGAACAGGGTGATAACAGGTTCCTGGTGAGTTCACACTTGAGTCTTCTGAAATCTTTGATGGTTAATTTGCAGCTTTCTTTTCTCAGCACATTTGGTGCAACCTTGTTGAATATGTGCAGCAAATTGTCTGACGGTTTCATGTTTGAGCCTCAATATCGTTGCAGTTTCATCCTTCTAAAAAACTTTTGGTTAAGTTTTGACTTCAGAGTCAGTTAGATAAATATTTTTTTGGCCATTGTTGCCTAAATAAAATAATCTGCCTAATAATTATGCACACCTTTATGTAGGGTGTTGACCTCCTCAGGCCACACCTTCGAATTACACAGATACACATCACCTGCTATGCTTAAATCCATTAAGCATTCAGGTATGTCCAGCTTGAAGTTAAAACATCTGAATAAAAATATGGTCATAATAATTGTGCACCCATTGTAGAACATAAAATCCAAATAAAATACATTGAATTTTGTGGCTGTACCATTCAGGCAGTCTTTATAACTTCATGGCCTCCAATAGTTTGTTTGTTTTGGACTTTGTGCATTGATCCAAATCAAGTCCTGAAGGGACACTGCAAAGAAACAAAAACCACAGCAATAATAAAAATCTTCAAACGCGTCTTTAAAAACAAAGTGAGAATTGTTGAGTTGCCTTTAAGGTTTTCACAGCACATAATGCTGTAGTGGTAAACAGGGAGCGTTTTTCTACCATAATTGCAACACAGGCGGTGACATGTATGCTGTTTAAGTTGAAGAGTAGTAATTATGACTTTACCATGAAATTAGTGCGTAAAGAACAGCAGAATGGCTGCTGCAGAGAAAAATGAAAGGTATTTATGCTCGGAAAACTTTACTAAATGTTATTTTAACAGACCACAAAGGTAAGAAAACAGCACCTATACAAATGATGCTCCGGCAAGCAGAAAATGTGCTCTGAAAACATGTCAGCATTAGTCTCAATAACTATTTCCTGTCATTTTAAATAGTTATGATTCTTTTTGGATTGAACAGAGGTTTTATTCTAGTTATACGATTCTCTTTTGTACACCGTTTAGTTGTTGTATGTAACCTGTTTTAGTGTTATTTATAGTTAGTCTAACATTAAAGCAGCCAGGGTCTCATCTCTCTGCTGCTTCTGCCCAGACTGCTTTTAATAACCCACACCGGCGTTTTTCCGTCCGAGCTAAAATAAATCATTTAAAGACGCGTGTCTTGATACGTCTGATTCATCATGTTGGTTTTTATTTATGCACATCATGATACCGATTCCGTCGACTCTCACTTGCAGTCAGCAAATCCCACGTTCTGTAAAGTAGTTTTTCCTGCCTTTCCTCATATCTAGGATAGTGCAGCGTGCACATAATTTCTGGTGAAGGATTTGTTTTAGTGAGCGGTGCTCCTGCATGCTCGCACGCAGGTGCATACGCATTAAGCAACCTGCCATATAAATGTCAGCTCCAAATCCTCTGCAGGTGAAGCCGAGGCTCGTAGTGCAAGTTGCGGTGATTTGCATTTCACAACGCTCCTCGCAGGCACACAAATGCACTTTAAAAGCCGGTGTGGCAGCTTCGGATGCCGCCGTCGTTTATATGCATGTGTTTGTGTCCATGTAGTCACGCCCCCACTGTGTAAATCAATATTGCAAATGAATCTTATCTGTGATGTAGGCTTCAGAGCCAACTACATTATCTGTGAGTTCATCATTCAAACAGCTGGGGTGACAGAGAAGGAGTGACTCAGTGAAAACGTCTTAAAATATGCATGTTGTTTAACAGATGATTTATTCATGAGGGGGCTGTGTTTGCCATTAAGTGTAGGCTGCTGCTAGGTCACTGATGTCGATTCACAGAGGGGGGAAAAGTACACAGTTTGGATTGCAATGCAATAGATTTTGTTTGTGTTTAATCGATATTGGACCAGAGTTCTGGGATGAGTTAGAACCTTTCTGTGTCTGTCTCGCTTCCAGATTTTGATCCTAACCTTGGCATGATGGCTGGAATCACCCCCATAAACCCCATGATGCCCGGCCTCGGCATGGTGCCCACACCCGTCTCCCAGGACGTTCCAGTCGTGAAGGAGATCATCCACTGCAAGAGCTGTACCCTCTTTCCCCCCAACCCCAGTAAGTCACAATACCAAACTAATCCTACTTTAGGCTGTTTCCACATGTGAAGCGTTATGCGCTGCGGGGCAGGAGCCAAAAGAAAGAAGAAAAGGGATCTTTATGAGGTCATCCTCTGTTGACAAAGCCAGAATAAATTGATTGAAACATAAGAGGCTTGTATTATCTGACCGTTTTTGTGATATAAAAACTTGCGGTTCGTTTCCTTTTGCTTTTTAGACTCAACGTTGGCCATGAAATTGTTGGAACTCTCCTTCCAGATCAGAGCAGACCTAATTTTGGTTCTGTACGTTACCACAATGAATGTTACATAAAGCAACACAGATGCTGTTGAAGCTCAGATTTCCAGCTTTAATTCAGAGGGTGAACAAAAGAGTTGAATAAAAATGTGAGGAACTAAAGCATGTTTTCTTTATATTTTCAGGTATCACTGCTTTGCATATTTCCCCCAGTACCTGATTGAATAGTGGAAATTTTTCAGTGGATTGAAAACTTTAACTTTCTGAAGTTTTATGCATAACAGATCTGTCTCTGTCTTTCATAATAAAATAAGATCGAATTGTTTATTTGCTAATAATATAAAGAGACACATTGTGGAAGCTTTTAGGTCACACATTCAATTTGTCTAGAGATGTGTGACTTAGTCTGTCATTTATGAGTGATTGTTGGCACCTTTTGCTTTTGGATTTTATTGTTTTTCCAACAAACGTGTATTTTTCAAAGTAAATCTAATCATAATCTTGGAGTGGTTTTATTTTTGCACAGACAGAACATTAGTTGTATATCTCTAGTTTGTATTTTCACTTCAGTAAGTCCTTAGAAACATATACAACGGCTAAAACAAGCTAATTAAAATTTTACTTCAGCTGCAAATATTTTTTTTTCTTCTTATTCACGACTCAGGAGCAGGAAGAGAAATGAACAGTTTCAGGAGAACTTGCACGCCCTAAGGTTAAATAAAGGATCAGCTTGTCTAGAAAATCCCCAGAACTTTAAATCCTGTCACAATCAATCTCTTAAACAAGTAAAACTTTTTTTTCCCATGTTGCTGCTGCCGTGATATGCATACATGAGTGGAAAAGTCAATGAGATTGCTCAATTTGTTTTAGACTTAGTTCTTATCTCCTTGTCATTGAATTTGTTTAACATATCTTTTTGATGTGGGGTTCAATCTTGAGTCCAGCTTTACTTTCTCACCTCTTGTTTTTCCACTGTCATCTTATCTTTCCACTTCTCCGTTTCTTTTTGTCCAACCTGCTCTTTGTTCCCTGTTTTGATCCCCATCTCCGCATAAGATCTTTGTTCTTGCCTTCTCTGTCCTTTTAAGAAAGAAACAGCTAATCTCAAGGCCCAGTATTTTCATCAGCCGGGCAAAACCGCCTGGACCTGATTCCTCTCATGAAAATCTACTAACTCAACAGGCAGACGCCTGGCAGGTGAGACGCCCAGAGGGAACCGCCTTATATTACGATGGTGGTGGATTGATAGTGCAGCTCTCAGAGACGTGCTGCCAGAGTCTGCAGAACCTCATGGTGTCTCTTCGAACAAATTAGTCTTGAAAAGGGCCAGAAGAAAAGCAGCTCACGTGTTGGTTTGCAGTACTCTCATCCATAAGTCGATAAAAGAGGTTTTTTCATCATGACGCATCGTAGGGCATGCTGACATCACAATCGCCAACCAATTAGGATTGGTGTAATGAAATGAAGGCTTCTGATAAATATGTCTGCCATAGAAAGGCATCCCAATCTCATCAGTTCTCAGCAGACTTTGAAAACTGATGTGATGCAGGTAACCTAAAGACTTGCCTTTAATCTGCCTTTAATCTGTGGACACAGTAGTATTTCTGTTGATATCTTAGTTGCTGATAATTTGTCCTTGAATCGTTTCAACAGTAAAAGCTAGGACAAATAAGGGTGCAACACGTTATGTTAGAAATCCCCTAAATGAAAACCTAATTAGTTAAGTTTTTGTCTTTTTTTAATTAAAGGAGTACAGAATTGAGCATCTCCTTGGAATATTTAGTGGATGTCTCTAAATGAAGGTATTTTCTCTGAAAAAGTCAACAAATGCATCTGTGTAGCTTAGAAATTTGCTTTGGCAGGATTTTCTTCTATACTGGCATTTAAGGACTCTGCATCAGCCTTATGCTGTGTTCAGACTAAACGCACTCCCTACAGAATTACCGTCGTTACCTTGACTCGACCAACATTTTCTAAACCAGCCTGTTCTTTGACAGCAATTTTCCTGTGTTCATCCATTTTGGTATGAGCTGAAAGTTTTGCTCTCTCTCTCCCACACACAGCTTTTCCATTAACCATATAATTGTGCACAATGAAAACATGATATTTGCTTACTGGATAAACGGCAATTTTGAAAAAAACAAACACTTTTTTTCAATTGAAGGTTTTTGGGCTATGATGATATAGTTTGTCAGCCATTTTGAAATGGATGTATTTCAGAAGACTTCAAAGGAAACATTTTTTCACATCACGCGACACACAATCAACAGCCGGATGCTACTACTGGTGAAAACAAGACATGTAGCTGGTTCCAGAACTCTCACAGTATTGCACAGCTCATAAAATGTTGTGTCAAAAAGTTGATCAAAAAGCACACGGGACATCAGTACATTTTAAATTGTTTATCAGCAATGTATTCTGGGTGCACTAAGCGTTTTTAAAGTGAGCAAGAATGTTTTCCCACCACTTTAGCTTCCTTCCCTTATTGTTGGCCCTAAATATTTTTGTCAGTGTAACTTTGTAGCACTCAGCATGGTGTGTTCATGTCTTGAACAAGGATTGGATTTTTGAGTTTTACAGTCAGAAAGGTCACAATAAGGTTTATGCAAACAGAAAAAAAGTCATCAACCAATTTCTCAGGCCATCTTAAATCTTAAAAATAAGAACCAGTATGAACAATGGATGTTTAAAATTTTTTAAATGCTTTTTTAAAATGTCTGTTAAAAGGATAGCTACTTTCAGCAGGAACTGTGGCTTATGCACCCATGAAAAAGCCCGTCTCTGATCCATTCTATTTTTATAGTATTAGACATCAAAATTTCATCTCTTAATTCATTTCAGTCCTGCTATCAGAGGTCACTGGGACAGACCCAGAAATTGCAGTGCAGATTAAATGACCGAGCTGGACTGAAAGTATTTCATACTCTGACATCAACACTGGGAGAGGAGAAAAACGGCCTTGATTACCTTACTTTGTATTTTTAGGACTGTTTTTGTCCTAATCTTTCCAACATTTAAAGCTGGATTTCTGCACAAAGAGGCAGCAGTTTTCACATGGAAAGAGGTAAAATGTGGGTGGTACTTTAGTTTGATTTCTGAGGATTTTAAGTTTTAGTGTCTGCTTCACTGAAGCTCTGGTTTCTCCCAGTGGGACACGGCAGACAGGTGCAATATTATAGTGGCATGTCATTATTTCAGACTGCATGCTGTCAGACGTTCTTTCAGATGTTAAGTTGGGATTTTAAAGGAGAATCTATCAAGAAAGTGAAGTAAGTTTTTGGCGCATGAAGATGTAAAAAAATGAAAACGTACAACTTATTTTATTTTTTTTCTTTTGGCTCAAGTATCTTGTTTAATCGTTAATTAATCAAATAAAAGGGGACTATTGTTTATGGAGCACCAATCTACCTGTTTAGCTGCCCATTCACCTTGATTCTAATCTAATTTAAAGCCTGGGAGGTCACCTGTTGGCAGCAGAGGACCGGCTCTCAGTGGTTGCTGCAGATTAGCTGCATTAAGGCTTTCAGCAAACATCAGAGGGAAAAGCACTTGTGTCTTGACGGCCAGGTTGCACATATGGTGTCCATCACAAGCAGTCATTGCCCTCTGGCTGCATGCTCTCAAGCTGACACTGCGTGCAGCATCCTCACTCACTGACCTTTTAGTTGAGAAACAACAGCCCCCTTCAGCTCTCCTCCTGATTCCTCTTTTTTTCATCCTGTCAGTGTGCCTCACCTCTAACACACTTGAGATTTACATCCACAAGAAGTTAGTTTTTCTTTGTACCGTCCACTTTAACTTTTCGCTAGACATTCGCCCTACCTATTCCCACTTCTGCTTTCTGTTAAATCCCTTTTGTTGCTTTTTCTAAATCCTTTGCAAACTTTTTTCCACTTGACCGAATCAATTAGATTTTGTTTGCTGATATTTTTCATTCAAAGCTCCCTGGGTACTCCATGGGAGGTTTTTATATTCTTCAGATGATAAAATCAATTTTTTACACATTCTGTTTACCTGTCATAGGAAAAACAAAACACTGGTTATTGGTCTCTGTGGAAATTGTTAGGAGCTAAATGCGAAGCTCATAGGATTAGAAATAATAGACTTTATTTTTCTCTACACGCAAAAAGAGATTGCAGATGTTGCAATATCCATGACTCATCTTATTGTTGTTCAGTCATCCATGTGCTAAATGGCTTTAAAAATAGACAATCTAACTTTATTGGTCCACAACAAAATGAGAATTGTCAGAACAACCACAAATGGCTCAAGCTTGTTGTGCTAAAAACCCAGATGCATTCACATCACTGCCTGCTGTTTGTTCCTATGTGACATAAATGAACTTAACATGTTTACTTGAGTGTGTCTAAGAGTCGTTTCTGTTAGCTCTATAATGGCTGACGCCTCCCTGCTGTGGCATCGCCTCGCTCCAGGAGTGGGTGTTTATCGAGTCATGCTGATGGATGGTGATCACCTTTCCTCAGTGAAGCGGTGGCCACACATACCGGCTGGCTCCTCGGGCAGCGTTGAGCTACGAACAAGCAGACTTTTTTGCTTTCATCAATATCCATGCGGTGGCAAGGGAACAACTTTGGGAGTGTGTTTAGGGTCGTCCTGCTGGAAGGTAAACTTTCATCCCAGGCTCAAGTCTTTAGCCTGTTTCTGTCTCCAGCTGTCTTCTCATCAACTAGATTTTCCTAGGCATTTTCATGCAACATATGTAAAGAATTCCCACAAAGAAAGGCACTAAATATATATAATATGCTGTAATAGTTCATAGCATGCTCCTTTTTTTGTAAAGTTGTTTTTTTGTCTGCTAACTACATTTGTGACATTTTCTATAAAAATGAAAAAATGGTTTTTTTTTATTCTCTTTACATACATGTGTTAATTTTCTTTATTTTAAATCACAAAAACAAAAAAATAATTAGTTTTTTAATTTAAAAATGGATATTTATAAAATAAGCTAATCTGTTTCAAGTAGCAAAAACATCAACTGCTGCTGTTTGAATACTTACTTTCTTCAATATTCCTGAATTTGTTGCTATGGTTACACTTGTTTTCTCCCAATATTGCTAGGGGATACTTTATGTCACCTCACTGCAAACATCCTATTTAGTAATTAGCTGTACTGGAGTTTATTTATGCAAACGGTAATTAATACAAATACACACCTTTTTTTTAGAGACGTATTCACAAAAATCTTTATTGAAAACCATTAAATCGCTCCAAAAAAAACAAGTCTGTGACTTAAATGTGGCGAGGTGGTGTAGTCACAGAAGCTAATCACATTATAGCCTCCTGCAAAGTACAGCCATTTCTTCATGTTTTTAACATTTCTTTAAAATATGGGTGTTTTATGCCTTTCCTGCTAAATCGATTTTTTTCAATCTTTTCCTGTTTTATTCAAATAAATTGAACACAATGTAATATTATGTGTACTTTAAAACACTATACATCTCAGCTCAGGGCTATGCATCTTTGTTTTGCTCCTGTCTCACCTTTTTCTCTGTTGTTTCTTCTTGGCAGCAGATATTTGTGATATAATTTCCACAGTGAACGCTGGGAGGGAAAAAAAAATAAATACTTCCTGCTTGCTCTTTCTCTCTGTCGTTCCCTCAGGTTTCAGCTGCTTATTATTTTTCCATGCAAATGCAATCACTTGGAACACTCACCCATGTTTTCATAGTTATTATGATATAATGTATTTATTGTAATCTGGAAATCACGAATGGTTCATCCGGATCTTGTTTGTGGCGCATTTGCATAAAATCGTCTTTTGCCATAACAGTGGGAGTCGACGCAGCGGGAAGCCGAGGGGATTGCGAAATGATCCCACTCTGACTTTTTAATGGTTACCAATTAATTACCAGACAAAATAACAAGAAGTTTTCTCTGCCAAAAAAAAAAAAAAAAAAGGAAAAATGTTTGTATTTAATTTGCAGCTTGGCACATTTGGACGTTGCTGCAGAGCATCTGTTTCCCCTCTCTTTGTCCTCGCTGCTTTATCAGCCACTCGTGGACCGAAAAGGTCACTTAATTTGGAACTCTTTGTTGAATCTGCCAGCAAAGCCGTTTCCTGCCATCACAAGCGTTTTCTAAACCACATTTTTCTTCTCCTTTTTTTTTTTTTTTTCCTGCCCATCTCAACTCAAAACTAGTTTAATCCGCCAGCTCCGGAGGTCAAGGAATGACACCTCTGTGAAAATTTTGCTACCACAGTCACATTTTAAGAAAAGACGAAGGAGAAAAGATTGATGCTATTTTGTTAGTGTGTGTGAAAGTGCGAGAGATACAAAGATTAAATCTTTGTACAGATTTTGTGGAATCTGAGAACTGTGCATAAGTAAAAAAAAAAAAGTTCTTTCTACATCGGCTGCGTTGATAATATGCAATGATAAATCACTTTAGCTAAATAAGTTATGTATGACAAATTCTTCCAGGCGGGTGTTTCTTTTCTGAAATTGTAGCTGGGGGTTGAGCAGACAGAGTAGGATACTCTGTCTATGTAAAGCTTGTCAAAATTTGTTCATTTATCCTTTGACTTTATCTTGTTTACTGAGGAACTTGTTTCTTCAGACATTTATTGGTGTTTTAAGTTCTGCTACGGCGTAACAGAACTTATGGTAACCAGCAACTGCTCACCATAGCAACCAGTAACTGACAGTTCCTTTTTTCTGTTGCCGTCTCCAGCTGTGGGGCAGAAGCTGCTGGACTGATGTTAATCACCAACTTAATTTCCTCCTTTGCTAGAATAAATACAATGAACCTGACTGTGTCTGTCCTGAAGTCAACCTACTGGGTCTGAGGTAAACAAAGAAGGGTTACATATATATAAATAGCCATCATTCCACCTGTTTGTGTTTCCAACAGAAACGGTTTGAATTTGAGCTTCAGTTGCAAAAGTTAAAAGACTTCAGACTAGACGTCAGAGTAGTTTATTGCAAGACGAAGGGCTTCAGGCTTGATTTGGACTTAAAAAAAAACATGACTTGTCAGCATCTCTTTCATACATCCATCTAGTACGTTTTTCCATGTTCCATACCATAAAATGACAATGTTGAATTCATATTTTTAAAACCTGTTTTGCTGTCTGGCTTTTAAATAAATGCGTCTCCACACCAGACAATGTCAGCTGAAAGTTACCTTGCAATGCGGACTGACTCCTAAGATGCGTCTTATTTTGTTTTGCAGAATTGGATCAGCCACCCTGTTGAGAAATCCCTCCAGGTTGTTTTCATTCACCCCATTGTTACTCAGATCTCTTTGCTGTAGATGAGGGTTAGACTAAAGATAAGGCTGTCACTTTATTTGTGTAGAGTAGCTGTTTGTGCAGCTGTGAATTGTACAAAAACAAAAGCGTGACCTACGTCCGTAAAGAAGAAAATCAAGAATGGAACGGTTTGAATGATTTAAAACACTTCTTGTGACCCAGTTTAACAGTTTAAAAGAGAAAATGCAGCAGCCGTAGTCAGTGTACCTAACAGGTTCTCAGTTTTTAAATCATGTTGGTCACAGTTAACATATCTAAATGAATCAACATTACCCCACTCACTTCTTATCTCCTCTACGCTACACATGGGATATTGAGCCAAAATCAACCCATTTCGGCTCAGAGTATTGATATTTGCTGGGATGGATACAGCAGTGTGCAAGGCCTTTTTTAGCAGATATCTAGGAATACAGCATCCTCAGCGTTCCACTGATTATTCGGTTCACTCCTCATAGACCCCACTAATCACATTCATCATGGATGAGAAGCCTGATCTATTGGAGATTAGATCAGTCAACACTCATCTGTGTTGAATAAGTGATTTCTGCAGTGCAGGGAACCTTCCACATGAGAGGATTCGCAATCACATTGTTGCCAAAAGGATTTCATTTTCATGCTTTCATACTTCGGATGGTTTGATTTTTAGCATTTATCTAACAAAAACTGATCTGAACATGTTGCTCAAAGTTATCATTATGCATGCTTTTAATCTTTATAATTTTGTAGGTCATAAGTGTTATGTTTTAAATGTGACTTAATTGAAATTTGCAGCTTCAACCTTCAAAATTTGGCTGTTTAAAAGGTCTTTTTTTCCATGTTATGCTGATTTATTTCTTCTACTTTAGACACTGTTGAGAAGTGACCCAAGTTATATTTACTCTGAATTTTTGGAAATAAAATTTTTTTATTTTATTTTTTTTTTCCACAGTGAAAGTGTTACATTTTTAAAAGCATCCCTAAAGGGTATGCAATAATTTATACATCCATCCAATTGTGTTCAGGTCTGGAGCTCAGAAAAGTTGTATTCCTTTTCATGTCTAAAATTCAAGAAATGTGTAAAACCGAGTGAACAAAAGTATGAACAAGGCAGCCAACGTTGCAATGTGATGGTGTTGTATATGGAACAACACCCTCACGTTTCTGTGCAGACCCATAGACCCATACATTGTGAATTGATGAAACGTTTAGAGATTTTTTATGACTGATAGACAGCAGCAGACAACTTTATGCTCACAAACACCTACTGCCTCCTCCGTGGCCTGGCTGTTGACTCTTCTTAATCTGTCTGTCCTAGTAATGGGATAAATTGTGTTTTTCCGATTATTTTATAATCATTTGGCCCATGCAAAAATAGAAAAAGAGAAGAAAACCTTGAACTTCAGGGAAATAACTTTATGTTGAATCAAAAACATTTTACAGATGTATCAAATATTTTTAACTAATTCATGTTCAAGGATACTCCATCTAATCAATAAATTAGATTTATTTATTTATTCATTCACTACTTCATTACTTTATGGGTTAAAGCACATTGTGGCTCTGGATTTTCTGCTATTCATTGAGAATAAAAGCACATTTATTTAAAAAAAAAAAATTGATCTGGCACCCTGCCTATTGGCAAAATGAGTAATGAAAACAAATGCTGCCATGGTGCATATTGTTTTCAGCTTCTCAAAGAGCATAACTCACATTCAAAATTAGATTTCACTTTTGCTCAAACAGCTGGATCGTTTCTTCAGTTTGTGTATTTCATTTTTATTATCTCTGCATGAATGTCAATGGGCAGCATTACATTAGTTTGTTTATTTATTCTGACTTTGCTTTTGTTTATTTCTGTGTGATTCACAAAGCAGCACCTGGGTTGTTGAGTTTAAGCCTGAGGGTAGTTTATTTTTTGCATAGGTTCTCCCTATGTGGCTGTGCATGTTGGATTTGTCTTTAAATCCAACTTCCTGAAAAAATGACTTGAGGAAGTTGCCTGGAAATGCTCAAGCCTCACTCCAGGAAGCACACGCTGAAGAAATCCAGCATAAATTACATTTTCCACATTCACTGACTCCATATTTTCACTTTGAACAGACCTACCTCCTCCTGCCACAAGAGAACGCCCTCCAGGTTGCAAGACTGTGTTTGTTGGCGGTTTGCCGGAGAACGCCACAGAGCAGCTCATCATGGAGGTCTTTGGACAGTGTGGCGACATCACGGCGATTCGCAAAAGCAAGAAGAACTTCTGCCACATCCGATTCGCAGAGGAGTCCACAGTGGACAAGGCTCTCTTTTTGTCTGGTAAGTTCTGATAGCTGTTAGACTTTGGTTGTGCTAATTTAGTGCTTATTGAGCACAGTGCTGGTCAGAACTGTACATGTACCGTTATTTGAACCCCTTTTTTCCAGGATTGAACGAAGAACTTTCCCAGATAGCACAGAATGATTGAAACAACATTGAATCAATGTCAGCCAGAAACATTGAATCAACGTTGAA